CCCACACACACTTTAAGTACCCACAGACACGGGAAACAACAAAACACCGCCCCCTCCAAAAAAAACAACAACCCAGCCCGTCACTTTAATCGAGTGTTTAGCCTAGATCTAGAAGTTATGGAGTAAAATAATGATTTATTTGGCTCAAGTGGTCGTCAATATCAGTTATAGAGCGGAGCAGAAAAAAACTGAAAACAACTGATAAGAGCTCTTCTTTTCACCCACCCCCTTTTTATTTGGGGGGAAGGGGGGGGGGGGGTATGTTTTTATCACCAAGAAAGGTATCGCTATGGACAAAGTCGATACCTAAAGAAATACTTGAACGCTCTTACCTAATAAAAATGTAAGTATCGATACAATCTCTATTTCTTATCTCTCTCTACTGTCCTAGCCTAGCCTATTTTGCTCCTCCAAAACAGAGGCTCTGCAGAATGAGAGAGCAGAGCTTTGACTGGAAAGCTGTTACGGTTACTCGAAGAAGAGAAGAATAACAAGAAAGAAATAGATCATCTATACTATATATTTTCTTAAGTTTAATGACTGGTGATCTTTGTCCCAGTAAACAAATTACAAATCACCTCTCCGTTGTTGTTTGCATGAATTGAAAGTGGACTTTACTTGCTACGAAATGGCGAGTTCAGAAATTGACAGACTAATTTGGTTGAAAAGGTGAGACTTAATGCAAGCCTGAAACTCTTCACGAGCTTGTTTGTTGCGCTTTTTTGATAATGAAGTTCTTTCGAAACGGTTGAACTGAACACATGGATCTTTCTGGATCTATATAGGCCCTTCTATTGACATTGAATGAGTGGTTGAAGTTTAGAGTGGATTATAATCTGCTTTTGTAGCAATGACCACGAAAATCCTTTTTTTTGCCAGAAAGTGTTTGCAAATAGGTGCATTTTGTAGCTTTATCTTCACAGAGCATGAAACTTTTTGAATTTTTGAAATCCATCAATAAACAAAAAAGTTGCGGATTTTTTAATCAATTAATTTCTGGTACACTTTTGTAATGAAAAAACCCCAAAATATGGGACGTTCTTTGGTGAGTTTTGAGACAATATTCGTCATAACTCACTCATTTCTCGGAGTATTTAAAAGAAACTTGGCAACCCAGTTCATTTTGTAGTGCAGAATCTAGTCCTGCTTTCAGATTTTTCATAGCTATCCTATTTTTTTAGTTATGAAGACGTTTATAGGTAAAAATGTGGCGGTTTTCGGTGCGTTTTGAGACAATATTTGTCATACCTCGCCTATTTCTTGGAATATGTAAATGAAACTTGGCAGTCTAGTACATTTTTAAATGCAGAATCTAGTCATGCAGTCAGATTTTTAATATGTCTTACTTTTTGAGTAGGCCTCATAGAGTATAGAGATGAGGTCACACTGAAATGCAAAAAGACACGAAAAGACGTCTGAATTTGGTCCCTTCCGACTTCCGACTCATTTTCAGGGTTACAATGATCAAAATTGGCGTAGCAATCCTTGAACCATCTACGGCACGGTAAAAAGTTTGGGCGCTTTTTCGGTAGTTCCCACCCCGCAATTGTTCACGGGTTTTGGCCCCAAGAGTAGGGGGGTTTCAGGGGGGCTGACCTAACAAAAATAGGAAGGGGGGTTTCAGAGGGGCATGCCCCCCTGAATTTTACCACAATTTAATGTTTTGCTGTTGTTAGGTTTGATATCTTAGCTCACCGCGAATCAAATGTATAGATCTACTATCTACTATCTAGATAATCTAGAAGTAGGTCAGGATCAAATAAGGGGGGTGGGAACTACCGAAAAAGCACCAAAGTTTGTTTGTATGGCCACCTCTATTCTCACTCCGGGTGAGAATAGCGCAGGCGAGTCTTTTGGGTATTCTCACCCGGTGTGCGTTCACCGTAATAGCCTAGGCCAACCAGTGTAGCGTTCACCCTGAACCACAGAATTCTACACACTGTGATAACAGAATTGTAAAATTCTGTGCTGTGAACAAACGTTCCATTACTACTGAAGCCTAAAAGCTTGCAATTTTGTCTGTGGGCTGTGGAGAGAAAGAGAGGAGAAGCGCAAGAACTTGCGGGCCAAACAAAATGGCAACCCACGTAGTTTGGCTCGATTCGAAAAGTTAAATAGCTGTAGCATCTTTGTAGACGACCAAATTAATTTACTTTTTTGTGTTTTAACATCATTTTTTAACTTTGTTTTGGTCAATTTGATCGTCCACACTGATAGACAGTATTCAGAAAGAGACAGAGAGAGAGGTGGGAAGGAGTAGATCTTTCGAGAATTTCCGGGCAAAACAAAATGGTTACCAGCGTAGTTCGGCTTGATTCGAAAAGGGTAATAGCCATAGCATCTTTGTAGACGATCAAATTAGCTTACTTTTGTGCTATGGCTATAACGTCATTTTTTCTTTGCTTTTATCAATTCAAATAATCATCCACACTGATAGACAGTATTACGAAATTAGGAAAAACTGGTCTTG